AAAAAAAAAAAAAAGTTCTTAGCAGCATTATGCATAATAGCCCTAAAGTGAAAACAACGTGAATATTCACCAACAGATGAATAGATACACAAATATGATATATCCATACAATGGAATATTATTCAGTTCTGAAAAGAAATGAGGGAGGTACTGATACATACTACAATATGGATGAAGCTCAAGGACATTAAGCTAAATGAAAGAAGCCAGATGCAAAAGGCCAGTATTTGTATAATTCATTTTATGAAATGTCCAAATGGCAAATCCAAAGAGACAGAAAATATGTTAGTGATTACAAGATTTAGGGGTGGGAGAGAATGAAGAATGACCTCAGATGGGTATGAGCTGTGTTTTTTTGGAAGAGATAAAAATGTTCTTAAATTGGAGTCATTACATAACTCTCTGAATATACTAAAATCCATGGAATTGTACACTTTAAAATGATGACTTTTATAATACCATCATTATTGTTTATATTTATTATTTATATTTCAATAATGCTGTTATAAAAATTAAGTTCACTTATTTCTTTTTACCTTTTTAATCAGCTGCTAGAAAATTTTTAAATTGTTTATGTAGTTCACATTGTAGTTCTATCGGACAGTGTTGTTCTAGACCTTATAATGAAGACATGGAGACTTTAAGTCACCATTCTCCTGCTCCTATCTGAGGAATTGCGTGACTCCATTGTAACATAAATAACAATAAAACCTTCTATTGGGAGAAATTGTACCTGACATTTGCTTTGAAAGCTCTACAATGTTTTCATGCATGTTATGCGATTTGATCCTCTTACCTTCCCAGGAGGAAGGCAGGAAGTGGTTATTATTCCCATTTTATAGATGGAAACACTGTGGTTTCAGAAAAGGGAAGGGACTCACCTAGGGACACAGACCCAGATCATAGACCCCTAGATCTCAGGCACCCGGCCTCAGATCTCCAGGGCTGTTCTACCATAAACCCTCCACGTGCACCCACCCCCACCCCATCCAAATTTGTTTTGCACAAGCAGCAAGCATCATTCCAGGCTCCCTCTGGGCCTCAGAGCTGATCTGAAGAACTTGAGAGGAGAAGCATATCAAGACCACCACCTCCATCCCATGGGTCACAGCTGTCACCACAAAATGGGAGATTGACATTGAACAGCTCTGATCTCCTTGACCAGACTACTGAAGCTTTGGTTCCCACCCCTGAGATTCTGTGATATAACTGGTCAGGGTTGGAGCCTGGACACTGGGACTTTCGAGAGCTCCCCTGATCATTCTAATGGGCAGCCAGGGTTTGGAACCATGACCCCAAGCCAATAGTCTCAAACAAGCAGCTTGTGGGCCAAGTCTATATCACAGAGGTATTCCGTTTAACTCCTGCACATGGATGTACGTTTAAATTCGAGTTGTCAATATTTAAAAACATGGAACTTTCACATAAAAGTCTGTACTCTGGCTTCCCTTGAGCAACTGGGGCCTGCATTCCTGCATGATGACCTGAGGCTGGAGCTGCTTTACACAGGGCAGAAGTCCCCCAGTTCCCTTATAATCCATAGCACTCCTTATGTTTCATGCCAGCCCACTTTGTTTTCGTGATCTAAGTATCCCTGTAGGATTGTCCTGACCCATTCATTCTCTTGGAGGCTGGTAAACTGAGGCCTGCTGACATAAGTGTGGGAGTTGCACCCCTTCTTGGCTGCTGGTTGAGCTAAGCAGACCTCTCTTTCTTTCCCAGCCGGAGAACATACTGTGTGTCAATCAGACAGGACATCAAATTAAGATCATTGACTTTGGACTGGCCAGAAGGTAAGAGGGTTGTATTTTGGCACTTTGACAAAACTCCTGGGGGGCTGCCTGTGGCTCTTTTGGATGTGCTTACCCACAGTTCAGCCTATTTTTGAGTTTTGGGACTGACACAGAAAGCTCTGTCACTGAGAGGCTGGTAGCCTTTGATTGTGCAGATAGGCCTTGTTACTACCCGGGGGTGTGTGTGGGGGTGGCTTCATGCTTCGGACTCTGCTTCTCCTTAAAAGGCTGTGGGATTAATTGTATTTCAAACCCCCTGTCTGAGCAGAGAGGGTGTGATGGTTAAAGGAGGACCACTGCGTGGGGGGTCCTCAGATCAATTCTGTTCATCCCCCGGACCTGAAGCCAGGATGTGCTGAGCTGTGTGAGGTATCCAGAACCACCCCTGCCCCCTGGGAAGTGAGTAGTTTAAATAAGAAAGTGCATATGTGCCAGTGTAGGGTGGTGTCAGACTATGTGGTTCTGGGCCTCTCAAAACTGGGTTAAATCTTGGTAAAATGATGATCAAATGAAATGCCTGCTGACATGGGGCAGTTTTGAAGTTTAAACGGAATAATACCTTGACAGTGCAGGCCCATCCTAGGAGGGTGGCTAGGTTCTCAAGTCTGACTGCATAAAGTAAACATATGACTTTAAAAGCGTCCCTTAAAATGCCTAAAGCCTAGTGAAGGAGAGTTTATCCATAGATAGATTTACGATCCTGTCCAGTCGTATGTATGATGAACACTCTAGCCCCTGGCACACACAGCCAGTGGTGTGGGTTCTTCGCAATGGCAGGAACAGACCCTTGGCATTGAGGAGGGCTGTCCCCCAAACCTTCAAGCATCCACGGTCTACAAATATGGGGTAGTTGTGTGCCCATCCTCCAGGCTTCCTCCAGAATTCTATTTCCACCAGGAATGACATTTCCCTGGGAATCACATATTTTCTAGGTAGGTCTCCACACTAGAGCTGAATTAAAGAAGTTGTTTCTGTCACTTTATAAGCCTAGCGGTGTCCTCTGCTGCATCCACAAGGGGACGAAAGCACAGCCTTGTCACAGTGGAGACAGAACCTCTTGCGTGAGCTCAGCCTCTGGGGTCCAGACCTGCCTCCCAGAAGTAGTAGTGAAAACCACAGTGGCAGTCTTCCTAGGTCCCTCTCCCATTGGGTGAAATGGTACCGTTACTTATCTCTTTGTAGGGGTGAAAGATGCGTTTTCAGTGCCTACATGATGGATGGGAGGCCAAGGGTGAGGTCATGAGAGTAAAGGCAGAGGGAAGTTCATATAATCCTACTGTACCTTCAGGATCCCCATTACACAGTGTACTGTTTTTCATGAACAATATACCAAAGGCCCCAACCCAAATGCTTCAAAATCACATTTAATCCATAATGTAAAAAATTGCTTAATATTTTCCTAAATAATGTGTTATAAAGTTGGGATACATCCTATACACTTGCATGTATTATCCACTAGAGCAATGTCTCTGAATGTATTTTTTATTATCATTGCCTACCTTCCAAAGAGCCTTTTTAGACATTTCTTTCCTAATCACCAGGCCCCCTCCTCATGAAATTTAATGCTGCAGTTGTCCTCTGTATCTGTTTATGTACCAGGGCCCTTTGGAAAGCCACAAAGCATTGTAATAGCTAAGACTTTTTTGCACTTCCAAGAACCAATGCTCACCTAAGTGGGGCAATACTGTCTTCGCTGAGCATGCACACCCTCCCAAATGTGTATGTAGTACCCTCCCAACTGCCAGATGTCCAGTTGCCAAATGAATATTTACAGTGACAAACTGTGAATTCAGAGCAAGGATTTGCCAGCTGAGGCTCCTGGGCTCTGGGAAGGCTTCTCTGAGCAGTTGGAAGGGAGAGATGGACAGGGTGTGGTTATCTGCAGGCAGTAGTATATTGGTACATGTTTATCAGCTCTGGGGGCGGGGTGGGGAATGGGTTTGACTCATAGCCTTTGCTAATTTTAGCTGAGTTCAACCTACCAACACGATGTCACTGAATGCAGATTGGGAGGAGAAGGGCACAACTGACTGTCATGTACCGGTGAGAACCGGCTCCAGCATACGGGGGTGGGAGTGGTGGGGGTGCGTGGAAGTTGGGGATTGGTATAGGATGTGCACCACGCATGCACAGGATCTCTTGGGGAAGGCAGGGGCTGGGTGGGATCGGGGGAAGAAGATACAGTGAAGATGAGGGCGTTCATAGGGAGTCCTGAATGTTGGAACATTACCCTATAGGCCACTAAGTTACCTGGTGGGGAAGTGAAAAGGGCTGTGGGCCAGCTTACCAAGCACGTTAGTCAAAATCTATCCCCAAACTCTCAGCAGTCCATCCCAAACTGTCAGATAAATTTCTTAACTGGGTCAAAGGCATCGATGACAATAATTTTGCCCAGAGATGGAGGGCAAGTTCAAGAAAATAAACGTGGGGAACCACATTGAAGAGAAGGCCACCCGCGTGAAACTGCTGGGCACTGGGGAAGTGCAGGTGTCTGAAACATGTGATACTCAGGAAACCGCACTCAGCAGAGCTGGGCTGACGGAGGCCCAGGTTCCAGTGGGGAGGTGAAAGGAAAACATCAAAAACACCCTCAACAGTCCGGCAACCTGGCCGTTGCGTGAGCTCAGCCTCTGGGGTCCAGACCTGCCTCCCAGGATCATTTGGCAAATTGGATTTTGCCAGACTGGCCTGCTTCCTGGGAAGCATGTCCTTCTAGGAAGAAGAATCTGTGGGGGGAATGTGCAGGTTGAGAGAGCATATTTTATATGCCAGAAGTAGTAAATGTTTGTAAAGAAGGAGGAAAAGCCAGTTTTCCCCTATAATACAAACTGTAGAAAGTCAAGTGGTATTTCTGGGTGGAGCTATTAGAAGATGCTGAGATTTTCAGTGGGGGGATGGCCTCAGTCATGGAGCCAGTGGGGGGGGGGCGGCACACACAGATCTTCAGAGGCCATGACATCCAGCAAGAGGGACCAGTGTTACACCAGGCTGGGCAGTGAGACCCATCAGTGGGTCTAAGTAGGGAACCTGTCAAGGGTCAAGGATGGGGCCGGGATGGGAAATGTCTTAAGTTTGGTCTCCAGAATGTTGGGTGCAGGGTTTGGCTTCCTGACTGCCAGTCTGGTGCTCAGATTGGAATCCAAGCCTATTTCATCAGATCCTTTGGCAGGGCAAGGAGCTGCCACCTCATATGTGACTCTATGGTCACAGAGGGCCTTATGCTAGGAATTTGGAGAGAGGGTCTTGGTGGATATTTTGACCTAGCTTTGGGGTTAGTTACTGCCACAGTACTACTGTGTAACAAACCACCCCAGGGGCTTCAGTCGTTAGGCATCGTCTTCGGCTCTCAGGTCATGATCCCAGGGGCCCCGGGTCAGGCTCTCTGCTCAGCGGGAAGCCTGCTTCTCCCTCTGCCACTCCCCCTGCTTGTGTTTCCTCTCTCACTGTCTCTGTCTTTCTGTCAAATAAATAAATAAAATCTTAAAAAAAAAAAAAAACCACCCCAAATTGCAGAGGCTTAAAACAGTCATTTCTTCTCATCCACCCATTTGCGAGCCAGCTGGGGGAGTGGTACGCTGGACCCAACTCATAGCAGCTCATGATAAGGAACCTTGTAAACAGTTGTTAAAATATACCATTAATTAACAATTAACGAACTTATATTAAAAACAAAGATTACTATTTTCAAATGTTACCACTTCCTAATTATTTTACTACATTTCACTACTCCTGAGGTCATTTGTGCCTGTTGTATCTGTACGGTGGGAAGACTGTGGAACGGTGTGCTATGGCAAGTCCCTTCCCAGCCCTGCATTCAGTGATGTCAGGATGGTAGTTTGCAATCAGTCAGGGTGAAATCAGTATTTATACCACTGAAAATGGCAAATGCTGCAAATCAAGACTTTTTTTTTTTTTTAATCAGATGGCTGGTTGTTAAATATTTACCCATGTGCCACTGGTCCAGAATCACTGATTCCCAGTCACTGAGCTGACATGGGCTTGGATCCAGGATTCAGATCAGTGAGGACGGGTCTGCTCCAGGCGTCTCCCATTCTCTCCTCATGGTGATGGCAGAGGCGCTAGAGGGCAGGCTTTTACAGTCTAGCTTGGATGGGCCCGCTGTCACTCCCCTCACTGCTCGCGCGGCCGAGCCTAGTGTCATCGGGGTGGGGCAATGTATGTTGCCTCTAGCGGAGTGAACTACGAAGTCATGTGGTACAGGATGTGGCTATGGGGCAAGATGAAGCAGTGAGAACAATCATGCAGCCTCTGGGAAAGTGGCTTCCAGGGGCTGAGAGCCTGGGTCTTCTCTCCTCCCTTTTTCCGTCTTCTCTCCTTTTTTTGCGGGGGATGGAGGGAGGTTTCAGATCTTTTATTGTGAAACACGAAACATGCATTTAAAAAGTGAAAGTACACATTGAAAAAGTACATTTATATCACAAAGCACTGACCACATCATATTTGCAAATACATTTGCTGGAAGGTGTGTATTTACACAAACCAATTTTCATTTCTACACAAATATTAACTTACTATCTAGTGATAGATATTTTGTACATTTTCAAAAGAAAACAACAATTTTACAACAAAACCAAAATTAAGATCTTCATCAAGGCTTCTGCATCCATTTACTTAACAAAGGTTTTTTTTTTCCTCATACAATGAATCAAATACTATATTGTCCTCTTCTTCTTATTGGCCCTGAGGTGCCAGAGGCTGTGGCATTCCCTGGGGACCTGTCTGAGCATAGTAGGCTGTTTGTTGTGCCTTTCAGCTCGGCTCCTTGGCCCTGAGTCAGCTGCCAGGGTAGGGGAGCCGCATGTTGCCAGAGGAGGGTTCCTGCTCTCTTCTGGGTTCCTGCTCTCTTCTAGGTCCCTTGCTTCCCGCTCAACAAGGCTACCATGATGATCCTTGTAGCTCCTTCACTGGATCAATGTAGGCTGTGTTGGCCCAGGTCTGCATTTATCTGGCTCTCAGCAAATTTGGAAGCGAAAGCTCTTTGACAAGTCACTTCCCTGGCTTAAGGGAAGCAGGGCACATTGGCAGAATATTCATTTTATTCTCAATTGCCTTGTCTGTAAGATGGGGACAGTAATCTTACAGACTTCATGGGGCTGTGTAAGAATGAGAAGAGGTTATATATATGTAAAACTTTTAGCCTGGCAAACAGGAAGTGCCCATTATATTTTATAAATTCTTTTTTTTTTTTTAGAACAATCTTAGGTTCACAGTGAAATTGAGGGGAAGGCACAGAGATTTCCCATATACCCCTTGCTCCCAGTCATGCCTCCCCGACCAGGGTGGTGCAGGGTAGTACATTTGTTACCATAGATGAACTTACACTGACATATTATCGCTCAAAGTCCATACTTTACATTACTGTTCACTCTTGGTGTTGGACATTCTATGGGTTGGACAAATGTATAATGACATGTATCCATCGTTATGGTACCATATGGAGTATTTTTAAGCCTGCAAATCCTCTGTTCACCTATTTATCTCTCCCTTCCTCTCCCCACCCCAACCCCTGGCAACCACTGATCTTTTTATGTCTCCATAGTTTTGCCCTTTCTTGAATGATCTCTAGTTGGAATCATACAGTAGCCTATTCAGACTGGCTTCTTTCACTTACTACTGTGGACTTGTTTCCTCTATGTCTTTTCATGGCTTGATAATTCATTTCTTTTTAGCACTGAATAGTATTCCATTGTCTGGATGTACCACAGTTTATTTATCCACTCACCTACCAAAGGACATCTTGGTTGTTGCCCATTACATTTTAGCTAAAGACTTTCTAAAAGACTAAAAATTCTAAAAACCACTTTCAGTCATCTCCTTTCCCACTCAGCCATCAACTCTCTTTCTAACCTTTATTAATCTTCCTGTCCAGAACCTTTTTTTTTTTTTTAAGATTTTATTTAGCGGGGTGCCTGGGTTGCTCAGTTGGTTGAATGTCTGCCTTTGGCTCAGGTCATGATCCCAGCATCCTGGGATCGAGCCCTGTGTCAGGCTCCCTGCTCAACGGGGAGTCTGCTTCTCCCTCTGCCCCTCCCCCTGCTCATGCTCTCTCTCACTCAGTATGTGCTCTTTTACTGATTTATTTGAGAGAGAGAAAGAGAAAGAGAGAGAGGGAACACGAGCAGGGGCAGAGGCAGAGGGAGAAGCAGGCTTCCCGCTGAGCAGGGAGCCCGACGCGGGGCTCAATCCCAAGCCCCTGGGATCATGACCTGAGCCAAAGGCAGACACTTAACTGACTGAGCCACCCAGGTGCCCCAGAACCTTTTTTCTAATTCTTATTCTTTTTGTAATTGTGTAAAATACACATAACATAAAACTTAACATCTTAACCATTTTTAAATTTAATTCAGTAGTGTTAAATAAGCAATTTCTAGAACTCTTTTCATCTTGCGAAAACTGAAACTCTATACTGGTTAAACAATAACTGGTCATTTTCCTCCTGCCTCCAGCACCTGGAAACTACCATTCTACCCTCTGTCTCTGACTTTGACCACTCTAGGTACCTTATCAAAGTGGAACCATACAGGGCGCCTGGGTGGCTCAGTTGGTTAAGCGACTGCCTTTGGCTCAGGTCATGATCCTGGAGTCCCAGGATCGAGTCCCACATTGGGCTTCCTGCTCAGCAGAGAGTCTGCTTCTCCCTCTGACCCTCCCCCTCTCCTGCTCTTTGTCTCTCATTCTCTTTCTCTCAAATAAATAAATAAAATCTTTAAAAAAAAAAAAAGTGGAACCATACAGTATTTGTCTTTTTGTGACTGACTTCTTTCACTTAGCATAATGTCCTGGAGGTTCACCCATATTGCAGCATGTGTCAGATTTGCCTTATATTGTAAGGCTGAATAATATTCCACTGTATGTATCTACCACATTTTACTTATGCAGTCATCTACCGATAGACACTTACTTGGGTTACTTCCTCCATTTGGCTATTATGAATAATGCTGCTATGAATATGGGTATGTAAATATCTCAAGATTCTGCTTTCAATTTTTTTGGATATACACCCAGAAGTGGGATTGCTGGATCATATGGTAGTTCTATTTTTAATGTTTTTGAGGAACTGCCATACTGTTCTCCATAGCAACAGCACCACATTACATTCCCACCAGCAAGGGTTCCAGTTTCTCTACATCCCAGCCAACTCTTACTATTTTCTGGTCTTTTGTTTGTTTGGTTGTTTTATAGGAGTCATGATGTGCAGTGGTATCTCATTGTGGTTTTGATTTGTATTTTCCTGATAATTAGTGATATTGAGCATATTTGCTTTCTCTAATTCTTACTGTCATCTCACCAACCAAATTGCTCACACCACAAGAGCAGACCTCCACAGACAGCTGCTATCCAATTTGTTTGTGCGTGTTCATGTGGCTACATGCTGAATAAGATATATTGATCATCTCCCCTTTTCATGTTGTAATTGCTTGGAGGGAGAGGGCTGTGGTTTTCTGGTTCTTCCTAGTGACTTAGGAAAGTGAAGTTGGGGCCAAGGGTATAATGATTCCTCAGTAAACTGCATGTGGTGGGTTAGGAGGTCCAGACAACATGGCAGACAGGAAGGGTTGGGAATGTCTAGCTCCTACCTGGAATTAGTCCCAGCCTCCACATCTTCTCTCAGGGCTCACTCCCATGGCCCTTTGCACCCCCTCTTCCCCAGGTACAAGCCTCGGGAGAAGCTGAAGGTGAACTTCGGCACTCCAGAGTTCCTGGCCCCAGAAGTTGTCAACTATGAATTTGTGTCCTTCCCTACGGACATGTGGAGTGTGGGAGTCATTATCTACATGCTGTGAGTGCCCAGGAGCCTGGCTCCCAGTGAGAATAGGGGCCATCTGTCTTAGTTTGGGTATCCTTAGAAGGAGCAAAACTTTGAGTGTGAGTCGTTTGAGAGGTGTTCCCAGGGAACAGCGACAGAGGAGTAGGGAAGTGAGACAGGGGAAGACACCGGTAAAGCATGTGCTATTCAGCCACTTACCACTGTGGGCAAGTGGAGTTGAATCCTGCAGGGAAGTCTGGGATCCATCGTGGAACAGCCCTCCAACAGTTATTCTATCTGAGTGGGGAGGGAGTTGGGGCATTTATACACCAACTCTTATCAGTCATTGCTTGTGAGCCGATGCCGAGGGCACTGGTTCCCTGAAACTTCCGGGTGGATAAAGCAGCTTCGCCTGGAGAGAAAGTTCTCCAGCCAGGAAATGCAGGTGCTGCAGTACAGCAGAGCAGTAAGGAGAGGAGATGGACAGGGCAGGACACTGGCTGCTGCATCATCTAACCTTGTCCCTCCTGCCCTGCGCCGTTTGCACGGAGGAAGCACTGAGAGGAGCTATGTACACTGACAAAGCATCCTCATCTCTCTGTGACTTCCCTTGGCTTTTTCCTCAGAGGCCCAGTCAAGTCATGCTTTGCTCCCAGACTTATCATTATGGTACAGTTGCTACCATGTGTCCCCACACTTTGTATGTGTGTACGCATCAGGTGGGGGAAGTTTGAGGCCCAAGGCCAGACAGTTAGACTGTCCTGTCTCTCTGGCCTCACTCTAGAAGGACCTATGGAAACCAGTTTTCTTTTGGGCCCTGAGGCCTGGGGTAGTCTGTAAACTAGCCAGGCTGTCTCAGAGACATGCTAAGGTATTTTTAAATTAATATGTAACCTGATAAGTGGACATATTGGACTGGATCTCAATTTATTCTTCACTTCAGGCTAAAAGGAAAATAGGTGAGCATGATTGGGGATTTATTCAAACACTCTTCATGCCTCTAAATTTTCAGTCCTGCCACTTCTTCCCCTAACAGAACACATTGGACTATCTCCTGTGGAGAAGTAATGGGGTGCTTTTCTTGTGAACCCTCTTGGTTCTGGTTAATGTTGCTTGAACCTTGTAAGACCTCTATCCTGTTGTCGCGTGTTGGCAGATAATGGCCTTCTACAGACTGACGGTCCTTTCTCTCCTCTGTAGACTCAGTGGTTTGTCCCCATTTCTAGGGGAAACAGATGCAGAGACCATGAATTTCATTGTGAACTGTAGCTGGGATTTTGACGCTGACACCTTTGAAGGGCTGTCGGAGGAGGCCAAGGACTTTGTTTCCTGCCTGCTCGTCAAAGAGAAGAGGTACCGTACCTTCATTGCTCGTCATTCTCAAACCATTCTGATGGGGACCACCCATCTGGGTGCTGTGAATATTAGGCTGGTGCTGGGTGTCCTCTGGACCAACTCTGTCCAAGGTATCTTAGTCCGCTACCTCTTCAGAGCAAAAAAAAGTAGCAGGGAAAGAGATGGAGGAAATCAATTAAAAAATAAACAATTAGGAGCATAAAATCTAGACAGAGTTTTAGAAAGGACCACATATATAAATTAGTCCTACTGCCAAGTTATCACTTTTAATAGGTTAATGTTGAAAAAAAGTTGAGATATGCAGATGTTCTTCCCCAGAATACAGACCAGAAAACCTCATTTGTTGAGAATGAAAGCCTACTTTGTTTTCAGCAGCCATATCCAAGTCATGGGTGGAACCATGGAGTTTTCTGATACTCATCAGACATAAAGAAATAATTGCAAACGACCCAGGGTGAGGCCCAAGAGTCTGGGCTCTGAGACAGCCCACAGTTCCCTGGCCTTTACTATTTTGTTCTTTCTGATGGTGAAAAGTTATGAGAGGAAAAGTATTTTTAATTCAGATGAACAAAACTGACATTTTTCTCTGGAAAGAGAGACAAGCTTCTTTCAAGGCTCATGTTCTTTGACTTCTTAAGAGCAATTCCAGGCCCAGCTGGCCTTGCTACTCCGTGCCTCGATGCCCCGCTCTCTGGAAGAGATGATTAATCACTGGGATACAGTCCCTCTACAGAGGGCAGGGACATTTTGCTGATGACTTTCTTGTACTTCTTCTTCTTTTTTTTTTTTTTTTAAAGATTTTATTTATTTATTCATGAGAGACAGAGAGAGAGAGAGAAGCAGAGGGAGAAGCAGGCTCCTAAGGAGCAGGGAGCCCGATGTGGGACTCGATCCCAGGACTCCGGGATCATGACGTGAGCCGAAGGCAGACGCCCAACCGTCTGAGCCACCCAGGCGCCCCGACTTTCTTGTACTTCTAAGGAGGGGAATTTTAGACATGAGGAGTTCCTTTTTAGTATGTGGCACGAATCTCGCCAGATGATTAATCCGTTCCACTGACTCAGGCTTCCTACCCAGCTGAACCATCTTCTGGACAACCAGAAAAGGCAACCCTAACTGACAGTTTCAATTTCTCTTTTCTCAGCTGCAGAATGAGTGCCACACAGTGCCTGAAACATGAGTGGTTGAATAATTTGCCTGCCAAAGCTTCAAAATCCAAAGTTCGTCTCAAATCCCAATTATTATTGCAGAAATACATGGCTCAGAGGAAATGGAAGGTATCTGTTTTTTCTTAGGAAAGGCAGCATTTGTCTTTTTAATGTGTCCTTTGAAAGAAGTGTAGCTAAGTTTTTACTTATATTTTCATTTTAAATAGAAAGATTATTTAGGAGAAAAAAGTATCTTATGTCAAAACCTGTTACCTTGATTAAAAATGCCACCGACCAAAACCAACTGGCATAAAAGTGGCATTAAGTTCATACTTAGGTGGACACTTGTAATGACAGAATGAAGTTTGAGCATGTGTTCTCAATGACAATAATAGTGAAGGGCTTGGAACTTATTGCCTGCAGCTTGAGATTTGATTCCTCCATGTTTCAGAAAGAGGGGCTGGGAAAACCCTATTAGGTTGTAAAAGCTTCATATTTTTGTTTACAAATAGAACTCTTCGGTACCATGAACATAAAATCTGTCCCAAAAACATCTGTCCTCCAGGAAAGTGGCTTTCCAGCATTTTGATATCAACTCAGATCCTCACTAAAAATCAAAAACAAAAGCCTTTACCTAGAGAACCAGTATACAAGGATACAAATACATACGTACACATATGAAATAAAAATATCCCAACGTTTGCTAAACAGTGTGATGCACTCAGATATTTTCTATTCTGTGGTATTTGTTTTCATTCAAAAAAGTGCTGGTCATAACCCACCAATTTGACTTCATGACCCACTGGTGGGTTGTGAATCACAATTTGAAAGACAGTATTCCAGTGGGCTCCATTTTTCACATGAAAGGGGCAGGATAATGTATTTTCTCACTTCATACTCGCTCCAGAATGCCCGAGTTGTGTGGCTGTTCTACTAGAATTTTGCCACAAATTTGTTTTCTCCATTAGGTTCTCAGTTTTGAACAAACCCAAGTGGCTAAACTTGTTTAAGTCCTTTTATTTTTTCTTCTTAAAGCAATTGGTCTAAAAATATATTTTTTCTTCTTTTCTCTCCTTAACATCAAGAAACATTTCTACGTGGTGACTGCTGCCAACAGGCTAAGGAAATTTCCAACTTGTCCCTAATTCTCAACTCTGCTGCTCCCATGGGCCCAGATGGTGATGAAGTGATGACTCAAGATTTTTAACAATCCAGTCTTGTACTAACATTGATTCCACTTATTTTGTAGAGAAAGGTTATGGCTCTTGCCTTCCTTGTGAATGAAAAGTGGCTGTAAGGAAAGTGACCTACAGACTTTTTTCTGCCTTACAAGATCATACTAAGTTGAAATGCTGTGTTTACTTTTCAAGTATACCTACTTTGGGTGATAAGCGTAGGCATGCTTTAGGTAGGTAGGAAAGCTTCTACTTTGTATATGTCAAATTTAAAGTCCAAACTTACTCTGATTAAAGAACTTAGTAGACTATTACACAGGGTCATGTTATTCAGTGTTATGCCCTCCAGTACAAAGAATTCTTAGAATTTTGATTTGCTCAAGTGTGAGCTGACATTTTACTGTACTACCCTGCTCTTGTGGAAAGCAACGTGGACTTAGGGCCATGATCCTCAAACTTGTTTTCACTTGTGCTCCCTTTTGAGACTCAAACCATGCATCCTTTAATATTCTTTGAAACTTCAAAATATACCACCTATCCTGGGTAAATCAGAACAATGATTATTTTGAATGTGCTTTTTAAATCTATACACACCTCCACCCTCTCCTAATTGGCCCTGTCCTGGCATTGGTAGTCTCACTCCTGGCCTCCCTTCCTCAGTTACGAACTTATGGTCTAGTAAGTCTGGAACTGATATGCAATATGTAAAAGATAAGAGTGTAATGATGTTCAGCTTTCTGAGAGAAACACAAATGGTATATCATGAGACAATAAAATGCTCTGCTACTGCTTTGTTAAGGATATACCACTCTCAGTGTTGTCATTTAACTTATAAAATGACTAACAAGAAGTATTGTAAAGTAAAGAATGCTTTTAATTTCCTTGCTTCTAACCTGATTTTTGTGCTATCCCCATGAACTTCTCGGGTCAGCAGTTTTAATTACTTTTAGCTTAGTTTTTTGGTTTTTACTTTTAGTTTTTAATTAGCCATGCAACAGTTTCACAGCCTTTCAGGATTTTTGTTCAAATAAAGACCCTGCTTTTTTTGGCAGAGGATGTGGGTGTGGGGAGGGAGGCAGAAGGTGGCGAGGTGAATCCTGCTGCTGCAGTTCTCACGCTGTAACTTTTCTCTGGAAGGCTAACTCTTGTCGAGAACTAAGATTTTTCAGTACCAGCATATGTAAGGCCTGCTCCAAGCTGGCCAGCCAGGGGATGAACATCAGAAGAGATAGGTGCTGAAAACCTCCCTTTCATGGGAGAGTACAGTAATTTGGTAAAATGCCTTATTTTAAAACAAATTTCTTCTCCGAAAAGGTTTTATGAGGGCAGCCTCCAGAAGGAGCCAGAGAGGTGACCTTATAATTCTGTCAGGTACCGTGTCCTCCTTTGGGGCTTCAGACTCTTGGGAATGCTATGAATCTTCTCCCCAGAAAAATGTAGTTAGCTATCTTGATCTAGAGCAGCAGTGATAGAAATATTATATGAGCCATATACATAATTTTAAAATTTCTAATAGCCCCTCTAAAAAAACCCTGGTGAAATTAATTTTAATAATTTAACAATAAGATCAAAAACACTTCAATTTGTAATCATCATAAAAACTATTGATATTTTTTTTTTCACACAAATCTCCAAAATCTGATATGTATTTTACACTTAAAATACATTTCAATTCAGATACGAGGTTTTCATCAGACATGCTTAGTTTGTATTTAGATTTCATGGAACTTACTGTGGAAAAATATACTCACATACTCAAGTTGTTTGAAACACCTCAAATGTTTTCTAATAATTAGGTATCCATTTTTACATTTAACTTAAATAAAAATAGGAATTCAGTCCTACAGTTGCATTAGCCACATTTTCAGTGCTTAATAGCCACATGTGGTTAGTGGCTTCTACATTGGACAGGGCGGGTATTGAGAGAATCCTTTACCTATCAGATTTTTTTATTTTTCCCCTGTATGCTGTTATTCTTTACCTAGAGTCCCCTCAGGAGAGCTTTGTTTAGGTCAAGCCCACACAAGTGAGAGGTAGTATGATTTTAGCCTCCCTTATCTGAACTTCAAGGGAACTTATTTAAAGCTTTAAATTTTGGGGTATTTTCAGTTCTCTACTTTGCTGGTATTTTTAGATTACAACTGTGCTGGCATCAACTATTTCTAATGGATTTTCCATTTGAATGAATAGTCTTTGGAAACTGCTGAGCAGAGAAACTCTAAAAGGTAGTCAGGACCCACTTTTTTTTACCTGTTAGATTGGTGTGCTTGTGGGGAAAATGGAATTCTTGCACTTTTGATGGGTCTGTATCTAAATAAAAGTCATACCCACACTTTTACCCTGCAATTTCCTTTCTAGAAATTTATCCCTCAGCAATACTTGAACAAGTGGACAGAGTTTTATGCAAAATGTTTACTGTAGCACTCTTGCTAATGGCTGAATGAAAACAACCTCATATGCCTAGCAGTATGATTTTAGTTAAATAAATTTTGCCACATCCATATAGGGAAATACCTTGTAGCTGTTAAACAGATCTAGATGTACTGAGAGCCACCTTTTATTACAGGAAAATTATAGAACATATATATAGCATCATCCCATTTGTGGAGAGACATATGCTTATACACGCATTAAAATTTTCTAGGATATGAAAGAAACTTAACAATAGGGTGTGGAGTGTGGGTGATGGGGAGAGGGGGAATTCCACTTTTCACTTTATAACTTTCTGAATAATTGAAATTTTTTTTTTTTACAATGAGCATCTATTGCTTTTATAATAAAAAATCAGCCAACACAATGTCATGTGGACATTGTTTTGACCTTGATTTGAGAACAATAAAAATATTTTAGAGCCCTCCAGGGAAATAAAATGTTAAATTGCATATTTAATAATACATAGAACTTTAGGGGTACTTGCGTGGCACAGTCAGTTAAGTGTCTGACTCTTGGTTTCTGTTCGGGTCATGATCTCAGGGTCCTGGGACGGAGCCCCGTGTCAGGCTTCACACTCAGCACAGAGTCTGCTTGAGATTCTCTCTCCCTCTCCCTTTGCCCCTCCCACTCATGCTCTCTCTCCAAAATAAATAAATCTTAAAAAAATAATATATAGAATTTCTATTAATTTTGTGAGTTATGATAATGGCAATGTGGTTATAATGTAGGTTAAATGGCTTCAGGAAAAATGAATACAGTTAAACAAATGTGGCAAAATCTTTGTTAACTATTGGGTCTGAGTGATTGGTACAGGGTTTCATTATACTGTTCTACACATTCGAAAATTTTCATATAAAAAGTTTTTAAATCAGTTAAATGAACACCATGAGGAGGTGTTAAAGAACTGAGTTTCCACAAAGTCTTTACAGTAGTTCTGAAACATACTCACTGGGTAGTAAGCATCCATCACTGGGAATGGAAATGTGTTGGAAAATTGTTGTCGAAAGAATTGCTTTAAGGCAATCCCCACCCCCTACCCCAATTAACTTAAGAAATAACCACATAAGAAATAACTATGTTTCAGATAATCAAAATAATTACCATCACCCGCTTTTAAGGCATAAAGGGGAAAAAAAGTCACAAACATAACTTCTATTTACTCACATGGAATCAACAGTGAAAAGGCAATCTAAGAAGTGGGAGAAAATATTTGCAAATCATGGATCTGCTAAGAAGTTATTATCTAGACTATATAAAGAATTCCTACAATTCAGCAACAAAAAAATAAACAACCTGATTCAAAAATGGGCAGAAGACTTGGGTAGGCATTTTTCTATAGATGATAAACAAATGGCCAGCAGCACATGAAAAAATGCTCATTAATCATTGCAGAAATGCAAGTAAAGACCAAAATGAGATAACCACCTCATATCCATTAGAATAAAAAAACCAGAAAATAAAAAGTGTTCAGAAAATAAGTGTTGGCAAAGATGTGGAGAAATTGAACTCTTGTGTACTGTTGGTGGGAATATAATATAGTGTAGCCCCTATGGAAAACAGTGTGATGGTTCCTCAAAAATTTAAAAATAGCATTAGCACATGATCCAGCAATCCCACTTCTGAGTATATATCCATCCAAAAGAATTGAAAGCTCGGTCTCAAAGAGATATTGTACACCCATGTTCATAGCAACATTATTCAGGTGGAAGAGCCAAAAGGTGGAAGCAACCCAAATGTCCACTTACAGATGAATGGATAAACAAAATGTGGTATATCTATACAATGGATTACTATTCAGCCTTAAAAAGGGAATTCTGACACATGCTACAAGAATGAACCTCAAGGAATAATGCTAAGTGAATAAGCCACTCAAAAAAGACAAATACTGTATGATTCCATTCATATGAGGTACCTATCTAGAATAGACAGATTCAGACATAAACAGTATGCTAATTGCCAGGGGCTGGGGGAGGGAGGTAGAGAGTTGTTTTTTTTTTGTTTTGTTTTGTTTTTTATTTGAGATAGAGAATGAGACAGAGAGAGAGAGCATGAGAGGGGGAAGGATCAAAGGGAGAAGCAGACTCCCTGCTGAGCAGGGAGCCCGATGCGGGACTTGATCCCAGGACTCCAGGATCATGACCTGAGCCGAAGGCAGTCGTTTAACCAACTGAGCCACCCAGGCGCCCAAAAAAATTGTTTTTATTAGCTTTTTTTTTTTTTAACATTTGGAAGTATGCAATTCTAGTTTCA